AGCAGCGTGCAGGAGGCCTGGAGGCCCCGCCGTTGGCTGCATCACTTCAGCTGCAGAAGAATTTTCTTTTGCAGACAAGCTCAGTCAGAGCCCTGACAGGCTGGTGGTCATCTGCAGAGAAGAACCGAACAGGAGATAAATCAACTTCATACCTTTGAGTGAATGTGTTGGGTTTGTGTGTGTGGGGCCCTGTCTTCAGTAGTATGGGAAGGGGCCACCTTGTAAGAGTGAAAAGCTCCCCTGGCTCCGATGTGTAACTCCCCAGCCCAGGCTGAGCCCATGAGCACTAGAGAAATGCCTCTGTGAATCCATATTTGTGAGGGGAAGGACTGTCTTGGAAAGAAGAAAGGGGAAAGAACCTGGAAGAGAGGCCATTGACCTGAACAAAAGACAAACATCAGCCTAAACAAAGAGAGAGCTTCCTTGCCAGGAAGAAGGAGGAGTGAGAAGACAGAGAACCTCAGACACCCCCTTCAACCTCATGGAGCAGGAGAAGGTAAAGTAGGTTCCCTGTGGCCCATGGAGGTTCAGTGGTGGAGCAGATGCCCATGGGTAGAGCATGGAGGACTCCATGCTGGAGCAGAAAAGCTGAGCCTGAGGGCAAGTGTGATGGAACTGAGACCGCAAGAGCCGGTCACTGCCAGAGCAGGAAGTGGACCCCCAGAGTAGAGGGAAAGTCTCATGCAGCCCATGGATGTCCCCATGCCGGAGCTGGGAGCTGAGCCCGAAGAGGTCCGTGACTCCATGGGAAGCTCACGTTGGAACAAACATCTTGTTCCTGGACTTCCAAGCCGGGAAGAGCAGCAGAGGTGAACTGACTGAACCCCCATTCCCTGTCCCCTGTGCCACTGGGGTAAGAAGGTAGAGAAATTGGGATCAAAGTGATTTGAGCCCAGGAAGAAGGGAGGGGCGGAGGGAAGGTGTAATAAAGATGTGGTTGTTATGTCTCACTGTGCTACTCAGATGAATGTCAATGCATTAAATTGATTTTTCTTCCCCAACTTGAGTCTGTTTTACCCGTGACCATAACTGGTGAGTGAGCCATTCCTGTCCTCATCCTAATCCCGTGCCCCTTTGTTGTGACTCCAAACCCATCTCACCGGGTGGGGGGAGTGAGTGCAGGACCACAAGGTCCTACCTGTGGTTAAACCACCACAGTGAAACATGAGGGAAAAATCATACTTTACACTTCAGAGCCTTCATGTTTAGTGAAAACAAGATACGAAATGAGTTCATGAAAGACTAATTGTCCAATTTGTTTTATGCATGAGTCCCCAGCATTCCTAGCACATGCAGTTACAGCTTGTTTTCAAAGAGACCAATTATTTAATTAAAACATCATCCTCACACTTCCAGATTTGCTGTAACAAGTCTTCTCTTCTTCATCCTTCTGGCCTAGTATTTTGCCATTTCTTGGTTTAAGACCAAAGAGAGGCAAATGGAAAGAATCAGAGTCTTCTCAGTATCTATAATCTACTAACAGCTATTAAAACCTGGGTCCACCCTTTCTCCTCCACAAAGCAAAGCAATACTACAGGACTTCAAACACCTTGGTGCTAGACCCATGGCAGCTAAGGCAGCCAGGATGGTCTTGCAGGTAGAAGGACACCAAATAAGGGTTTGAAATGAGCCTGTGCCTGGGAACTTGAAGGTCAAGATCAGGAAGCGATGGGGATGAAAGCTCCTTGAATTGTCTAATATTGCCTCCAATATTTCACTCTCTGGAAGATACCCAAGGAGGCTACATAAGACACCTAATTTATACACAACAGAAACTTAAAGCTGGGTTATTGGGTGGGGTAAAGGGTGAAAGAAGGAACAGGAAATAGCTAAAGAACCCTCAAAAGTAGTCAAAAGGATGCCCAGAGGAGATTTCTTCCAGACAAGCAAAGTAAATAAAGCATAATTCAGTAAAATGCTATAATCAGAAAATATAGTTCACAGTTTTCTGACTCTGCAGCATAAATCTTCGTTGCAAATAAAGATGTTTGTGCAATCACAATCCCTCTGACGAAGCAGAAAGCAGAAGCCCGGGTGCCTGCCTGTGCAGGAACGGAGTGCTGCAGTCTTGGCACTTGGTGGAGAGATGCTATCAGGGGTTGCCACGGCAACCAGAGGATGCAGACCCAGCAGCTTTGACTTTGCATAAACTGACAGTGAGTTCAGCTGGGGACAAGACACTGAGAGTGCTGGTGGCTTCCTCCAGCACCCAGGCAGGATGGTGAAGGGAAGCTTTGAAGCTTTCCTACGGTCAAGTCTCCTTCCACCATGTGTCCCCCCACCATGTACAGACACAACCACCCACGCATGCACCCCGAGTTCTCCTCCTCCTTCCTCCCAGGTTAGACAACACACATGCACAAAGGTCATTTTCCTTGCCCATCGCTTCCACTCAGCTTCCTCCTCACTGAGCTGCCAGACTTTTAAGTATTTTTGTTTTCTGGACATGAGTATTCTCTGGAAGCAGAGATATTTTTTTTAAATGAAGTTCCTTTCATTGCAGAGGTAGCCCTGATATCCCACCTCCCTTTACAAAGCTGGAGAGCAAGAAGCACTGTATGATTTGTACAAATCTAGAAAGGATCACTTCAGAATTTACTGTAATTTTTTTTTTTTTTCTCCTGAAAACAGCCTTGATTCAGAGGGGAACCTGTCACGCAGAGGAGTCCAACACCAAGTGAATTACTGTCCCCTTTGGCAACGTTGCTCTTACCTTATTATCCCGTATCCTTCCTGTTGTGCTATCCCCAACAGGGAAACTGCTGTGGAACACATCATTGTGGTATGGAGAAAAACAGATCCCCTTTTTCCCTCAAAACCCTGACGTGATATAAATGTAATTTTAAAAGTCCCTTTATGATAAATTTCTACTTTTCATTTCTTTACACGCACCTTAAGGCAGCATTATTTGCCCATAAATATTATGTATGTTAATTCAAATGCAATCTTAAACTTGTGTGCAGACTTCCAATATTTTTTTCCTGTTGTTGCACCACAGAGATCCTCATGTCACAGAGCTGTAACACGGTTTTTCTTCAGTGAAATGGAATCCTAAAGTCAGGCATTAAGTCCTCTGGAAAACAGAATTAATTCTCCTAAAACCTACAACAGTTATATCTCATGCAAGGAACAGAACCAATCTGCACTGGGCGTTTGTGCTTCATGAGAATAACTGTGCAGGGAGATCCAAGGAGCACTATTTTCATTGCAGATTTGTAACCCCCACAGAAAAGATTATTCAGATTTCACACAGACAGATCAAATACGCCTCATGTGTGAAGTGGCCACTGACATAAGATATTTTGGGAAGGGAGATTTTCTGCCAGTGGCAAGAGATAGCAGAAGGCAAGGTTAGGTGACAGGCCAGTACTCCAGCTTTGATTTACCACCCCTTCTCTGGAGTGGCAGCTTCCATTTTCAAATTCACACCAATTTATTTCACGTTATTTGCAAAGTGAGAAAGACTTAAGGCCAGTTTGTTTGACAGGGTGGCAGCTGTCACTCCATGTAAACAGATCCCGAAATGAAAGAGCAATCCAGCACATGGAAGTAGAAAGTCCTGACACTTTAATTATCTGAAGAGATTACAAGATGAAAGTTTTCCTTGAGGCAAATGTATATTAGTACTGATATAGTCATTGTGCTTTTCAGTAAGAGAAATAGGAGTCTGTATTTACATAAGAAACTATAGTGTCTGAGATCTTTAAATATCATATTTATGGAAATGATTCTGAATTACAGCATTTACAAAATAAAAACAAGCTTGAATAAATATTCAGTCCATTAAATAAGATTTTTTTTTTCCACAGAAGCAACTTTTTGTGCATATTTATTTCACAATTGAAGTTTGTTGTATTTCTTATCCTATAAAAGAAGCATTAAATTTGTAGGTTTCTTTTCCAAAAATAAAACTGCAATAATCATTGCAATGTGAAGCCTGAGATTTAAGCCTGAATAAGTACCATTGCTTGCACCCCATTACCCGCCTCCCACCAATCACCCAACCCCATGCTGTTCCAAACTCTGGTGAATGCCAACACTCCAACTCAAGGATGCCATGGGAAAGACTCCATGGGATGGATTTCAGGGAAATATAATAATAACAAAAATATAAATAAGGTGAGGATAACACATCATAGCTGACATTGTCTACAAACACCATCGTAAGGCTTGTGAATTACACATGAACTAAGTGAAGCTGTTTCAGCTGATTCAAAACAACGGTAGTGCCAAACTCTTGGACCCTTATATGGCTCATTAACACTGAAAATTAAACCACTTAAAGGCAACGTCCCTCCAAAACTAAATAAATTTTTAAAAAATTCACCACTGGCCAGTTTCACTTTATCATTTTAAATGACGACCTTTCTTGAGCATGATACCGCAAAACAACTTCCTCATCCTTTTTTGTAATAATCACTTTGAAACAGAGTGTGTAACACTGCAACTCAGGAAAGGGGACACAGCAAAGAGCTCTTGATCTCGTTTCCTCTGTAACCACAGCACACACTGTCTTGCTTTTCATGTGGCTAACTCAAAGCATGTCCAAACGCCTTTGAAACCTCAGTGCTCGGGGAGCTCTTACTGCAAATAGTTTGTGCAAGATCATAGCATGAATCCATGTGAGTTATTTCTTTCCTCTCCAAGTGGAGGTAAAATTAATCCCTGGTGTTTCAAATAAATACAAACATCTTCCCAGTTGTTAGCATGAGTGAAGTAATAGTATGCAATATTTTACACAGTTACTTTGCCAAATATGGACAACAAGTACCCTTCTCTGGTTGACCATTCTGTAGGACCTTTTGAGTAAATCATTACATATTTGCCATCTAAAAAACTCGGCATGGGAGAAAATTTGTCATATCTACTGAATTTTGCTGCTAAACCCTGTCAAAAATATGTATTTTAATATTAATTAATTCATTTGGTAACTATTTCTTCTAAAGTTTTGTTAAGTTTTAAATGCTGATATAGAAACCAAAGCTGTGTTATACTTTTGTTAACAGGATTTAGCATAAATGATGCAGATTAAAAATACTTCTAAAACTCCAAAATATGGAACTGGAAGTTGTAAAACTTAATTTTTAGAAGACAACTTGGAGTTATTGCTCTGCTCAGTAAATGAAAGGCAACAGAAATACACTACTTCAGGACCCTCAGTGCTTCCTATGTGATTCACGGAAAAAATTGCCTTTGTAAATATCGAATATGGATTTGAAATAGTTTTGTTTTAATCAAACCTAGCATAGGTAGCAAAAATCTAGTAATGGGCAAATTAAACCACAGCAGGAGGGAGAGTGCTGACATCCACAGCCATGCTGGTATTCTAGTGAGCACAGAAGTGTCCGAGCTTTGGGATTGATTCGCTGGGATGGACTAGTTAACCAGCTACTCTGTTCCTAGCACGTAAGATAAGCAGCAATGCTTGTTCAATTCTCTGAGCCCTATTTTCCTTCCACACAGTGCATTTGTTCTGCATATGGCATCGTAACATTAATGTTATAAATTTATGGAAGACTGTACTGTAGCCTTAGAGCTACAGACGCTTCATACTTCCCTTTAGCAGCTTAGTAAAATGCAATAAAAACCGTCTGTACAAAATTTATAATAATGGATGTCAAAGCCTACATGCCCTCACGGGGTCCCTCTTTCAAGTTAATCCTTGACTTAGGTCAAATACATCAGTCCATGTAAGACTCCAGAAGACACACCAGTAGTTTAACATGTCAGATACCAGCTTTGTCACTATAGAAAGGAGTGACATGGAACATGTAACAGTGAGTGCAAACACGGACAGGCTTCATCTGACCATAACGAGGTAATGGAGCAGAGTGAGAGGAACAGCGGGAACAGAAGATCTGAAAAACAAGAGGGAGATTTCACTTTAGCTCCTTTAAAGAACTGGATAGGACAAATTGATTTCAATTTTGTGCTGGGCTCCTGTGCGTCTGAAACACCAACCTCCTCAGCACAGCAACTAAAAGCCCTCTGCAGGCAATTCATAGCCCGATGACCACCTAATCTGACTGGGTTTAGCCTCTTTGACACTGTTGCCCAAGCACTGACATTAGCCAAGGCAGGCCTGTCTAGCTCTGCAGGCCACAGGAGAAGGCAGCTCCACCAGCAGAAACAAAACAAAGCATATCCCCCCACTGGCTTTGAAGAAAAACTAGGGGTATATTTGTGAATAACACCCAAGTTTCTAATCCTGCAAGTCTACTATAAAGTTAACAAAAATAGTTTCTCTACCCTCTTCCTTTTTAACTTGTGCAGCAGCAAGTGAAAAGGGACTGCAGATTTCTGTCTTTCCAAGGCACATAACAGCTTTTTTTCTCCCTCACTCCCTCTTCCTCCCCCACAAACTCACAGAGCAGCAGCCCTGCACACCGCAGTCCTCCTGCAAAGGTTTAGAAAGCAAAGGGACACGCTGTCCCTGCAGCTGAGCTGTGCATCACCACCCCTCAGGTGATGCAGGCTGCTGCAGCTCGTTAAAGCTTAGAGCAGTAGTTCAGAGTGACTCTGGATTTGGGGTGTTTGTTCCATGATCTCAGCAGGGAGTTCTGCCTTTCAGCAGATAAATGCTTATTACTGTATAAAAGTCAAAACCCTCCTCCCTCACTTTCCAAATGTAAACTGAACAGTCAATAGCCAAGACGTACAAAAACACTTGAGGCTTGAAAACCCTGGCCAAGCCACACAATTTGCTGTGCAGCTGAGTTTCTGTGGTACGCAAAACATTTGCTGTTCTCTTTGGCAGATTGTTTCTCCCGTGTGTGACGGAGCCGTTACCTTGCCACAGCTCCGACAGTGGTGTTTCCTGCGGATGACTGTGAAGGGAGCCTTGCACGCGGTGCAGTAGCTGCAGACTTCATCTGGAACCCAGTCAGGAGGATCTGTCAGAAACACAGCAACAAAAGGGAACATAAATCAAAAGGGAATAAAAACAAACATGCAATTACCAGATCCTCAAGGGAGTAGTGAGAATAAAATATAACAGCAGCTGCTTTCATCTGAGTTTCTCAAGATGCTTTGCAGAAGGCAGCTAGGTGAATTCTGGATGTCTGAGAGGGCTCAACTCCCCCTTCTCTGCCAGGTGCCCACCTCTGGGCAGAGCCCAGAAACAGCACACAGCAACTCCCAACTCAAAATGAAATATATCCTATTCAAGTGAAAGTGGCAGGGAAAAGGAGATAAGCAAAATAAAGTATGAAGGCAAGACACTATTAAAGCAGAGCTGGAACACAGGTGTTTTTGTCAACGCAACCAGTCATCAAAACAAGCTTAGAGCCGAGATCATTCCCAGCCTCTTCAGCTCTCCCTACAGAAAGCCTGGCTGCTCTTCTGCCATGAGGCAAGCAACTCCACAGATAATAAACTCTGAGCCCAGTTACTGTCTGCTAAGCTATTACGACTCTTACTGGAAGTTACCAGTAACTGCAACAAAACTGCAAAATCACATGTGCAAGACTTACCAGAGAAGGGATCCGACCATTACCCCTAACAGCATGTTGCAGTTATTTATTTCTCCTCTGAGCTCTCTAACTTCTCATAAAAGCCAAGCAAGGAAATGATTTGGTTTTGGCAAAGCAGAAGGTATTAGGCTCACTTCTGCGGAGCTGCTTCTGCTAGTGACAGGCTGACATGACCTCAGAGAGTCTAAACTTACAAATGTAGAAATGATATAGCTGATTGCTTCATTCAGTTGTTAAAAATCTAATGAAGGGCAAAGCAAGTTCTATCCAGAACGAATCCATGGACACTGTGAACATGAACTGCTGGATGTATTTACCCAAGTTCCCCGTACGCAGCTTCTGTCCAAGTTATTATTTACAGTATAGAACTCATACAATTGCTGATTTATAAACCTGACAAGCAAGCTCCCCGCCTCAAGAAGCATATTATCAAACAGCAAGATATATGGCACAGTTAATGCAGAGGTCAAGAGGGCTACAGGCAGAAAGAAGATAATTAAACGAAAAATCCACTGTATTCTTCACACTTAACCATGACCAGTTTTCATGTGTTTGTCACATTGCAACAACTGTCAAATTAAAAGTAAAAAGGACACAGCATTCAATGTGGACAATGTTCAAAAAGCAGATTAATAAAAACAAAGAGAGCTTCAAATCTTGAGTCAACTTTTATGGACTCCTCTAAACTATTCTGGAAGTTTAACTAGTTTAAGGGAGGAATCTTTCATTTGATGAACATACTGGTCTGATAAAGGTCACAACTATAGGGACAGCAACCAAAACCAAAGTCTGTGTGCAGAGAAATGACTGATGTGGTGAAAAGGAGGAGACTGCACATAGCAGGCCTTCACCTCGTCCCTGGGAACAGATCACCAGAAACCGTTCTGTGGGGACACAAGGCTCCAGAATCCTACTTCAAAAGCAGACCTTCCTATGGCAGCGGGGAGATGCAGGACTGCTGGCTTAAGGTGAAGCATTAACAGCAATGAAACCAAGGGAATTTTCCTTTCCAATTCTCTCTCCTTCTCTGTAGCCTCCCTAGCTACTACATGTACCTTGCCCAGTGAAACTTTCCCCTGATGTGATGTTGACTTTGACAACCTGGTACCACTTCCACAGGAATCTCTGATCTGAAACCATGGCAAGCCTGCTGATCTTGGCCATCTCCATGTTCTCCATCCAGGAGGTCCCTTGGCTTATCACATATATTTCCAAACAAAATAACCAGCCAATAATATTCCTGATTATGTTTTCAGGGATTTAACCATCCCATTGATTCTCACTGATTTTAAATACAGCAAAATTTAGGAAGCTATTCAAGCTCTGTGCCACCAGGCCTCCCTCACAAATGAACACAGAGCTGGTAGAAGCAGCTCTGCCAAGATGCCTACTTCGCTGCCATTGCTTTATCAACTGCATTATAATGTGGGCTACCATGTTCAGCTAGTTACTGATTTTAATAATCACAGAAAAAACAAAAACCAGGCCTTTTTTGTACAAACTGCAGCATGCTGATACAAACAACTTGTGCAGCAGCCAGTACCGTAATCACACCTGCCCTTAGACCATGATTAGTCCAGACACATGATCAGCTAATACAGCCCCACTACAAAGACTCTGGAGCCCAACAGCAGAAAGCAGCTTTTTTCATCAGGTGTTTAACATTTGGGTTTTGTTTTGATTGTTTTGTTGGGTTTTTTTCTGTTGATGCCCTTGAAATACAATGTTGAAAAAGTTATTTTTTAATTGACCTTGTATGGATTTCATTGTCTATAATGCTAAATAAAAAGAAAAATTGGAAAAACCCATGACAAACAGCAAACTTATTCTGATAAATAACGACCTTATAAACTCGTAATAGTCATATAATCCATAGTTCCTGGTTACAGAATTACTTGACTACCAGATGAATTAATGTACAAACTTTGTTTTTATTATTGCATAAAAAACAAATCACATTGTAGTGGTACTCAATGCATAGAAACAGTATAACCCTCTCTACAGAACGTTCTCCCACATTACAGGGCCTCACGTTATCTCCCATGTTGGTGTCACATCAGCTGATTCACTAAATTAACGCATCAGTAGAGTGAGCTGAAGGGCACGTTTTCCCCCAGACCCCTTTGAGAGGGCCGTGCGGCCAGCCCCGTGCCCCACTGCCTCTGGGCTCTAGTGCCCTCCTGACATCCCAACTGCTCACACCGAGCTCAGCTGCACTGCAGCACACCCCCAAATAGTAACACTTCGTTACATAACAGCTTTTAACATTCAAAATGCAGTACAAACATTAAATTGCTGTAATCTTCATCACCCAGCTACAGTCAGTGTGTGGGGAGAAACCAGGAGAGAAATGTCTTGCCCAAAGTCATACAGTGGTGCAGTCCTGAAATGACATTAGGCCATTAGCTCTGTACCTGTGCTTCCAGTGGCAACTGAAAAAGTGCTTTCACTGGGGACAAACACAGAGGCTTCATTTTGAGAGCGTGCACTTGCTGAGAAATTAAACACAATCCTGGACTGGAGCTGAAGAGCTCCATCAGAAGGGATGGAGCCCTGAATGACTCGGTCTCTCTGACTGAGTGGAAGTGGGATCAACACTCCTAGGTCCCCTTCACAAGCCTCATCTCGCTCAACCTTGGGAGCAGCATTTCTGACTTACATATATTACTGATGGCTTTTACGTCAGGCTTTTTATAGAACAGGTTTTTGAAATATTCCCTGAAGAGCACTCTCATGAGAGGATAAAGCTTCGATAAGAAGAGCAGAGTGAGTTACACAAATTAAACCCCTAGCATGAGCCTGAAGATGTGCTGGAAGCAGGGCAGCAGCACTGCACCCCTCAGCTTTTTATGATACAGTCCTTCTCCAGGCTACGCTGGCTCCACCAGCTCTGCATGCAGCAGCAAATGGAAACATCCAGTCTCTAAAGCACCGTCTGTCTGTGCTTCAGGGATTTGTACAAGCAATGGATGGGAAACTTTGTTCATGGGCTAATTGGCCCACTGCTTTATCATGCAATGAGAGTTAAGAGAAGTCTGTTGGGACATGGATGAAGACCACAGCACAAACATCAAAGAGGAGGAGGAAGGGAGGGAAGGGATTAACGAGACTGAAAGACTACGGAAATACATTTTAGAAGAAAACATTAAAAGCATGTACAGAAAAAAAGTCACAGAAAGGAAGAGAAACAAGTATTTAAATGAATAAGAAACAAAGAGAAAGGAAAAGGAAGAAGATAAAATTAAGTAGCGTAAAGACTGAAAAAGACATTTAAAAAGGAGAAATAGTATTCTCAACTATTAAAAAATCTTGCATTACAATCTCCCATAAATCATGAAATTTTATACTATTTTTATTCACTTTATGCAGTAGCTTTTAGAATTTATCTTTACATGTCTCTGCAACCTCAGTAACTAAAAATGTTTTCTGCTCTATAAAAGTTTAAAATCTCAGGTAAATCCAAGATGCTGGACCTTTAAGAAAACCACAATCACAGTAAAAGTCATAGATGGTGTAAACATTGTCAAAAAGCACGTGCAAATTCATTTTGCTTAAGTATGTGCAATAGCTCTACTGCAGTCCCATCTAATCTTACAAAACCAAGGAGAACACATCTGTATCCCAGAACACAAGGAGAAGACAGCCTGGACCCAGATCCATCAACAAGTGTTGACTCAAACAAGATTAGACCAGAAAGTTCACTCAGTGGTGCTGAGACACAAGAGATTTGGGTCGGGGAATAGGGGAGGGAAATAATTCCAAAAGTTGTTGGAGCTTGCAGAAGGTCTAATTTAGCAAACCTATACTCTGGTGGAAAACAAATCAGAAAACATGCAAACCACGACTCTCTGCGGAACAGCAGCTACTAAACCCTAAGCTTGTGGTGGTGTTTGCATTATGGCCAGACCATTCAAAGACCCTTTCTGCATATTTTATTTTTATCTGATATTCCTAATGCAGAAGTTCCTCCTGCACTGATGTGTATTAGATTTTAGAGCACATCATGCATAACCCTGATGACACTTTTACCAAACTAACCTTAAGAGGGCTGCTCCTACAGCAGCTGGTAGAACTTACACTGCTGCAGCCATCAAACTGCATCACCTTCACAGCTGCAAAAAAGGTCAGGTGGGCTTTCTGTAGCTCTGCTGATGAAAACAGGAATTGTAAATTCTCACAGTTTTACCTATGGAAAGTAGAGAAGTAAGGTGATGTGCCTGTACCACTCACTTCAACTGCCACTGTAAAATGAAACTTTTTGTCCCTTATCACACAATTTTCTGCACGTTACTCGGGGCCATCTCTGATTATACGATTCCTAGGAGGCAGTGGTACCAAAGTAATCTTTGCCCTTTCTCAGTAGATTCAGTGTTGATTACAGCTGGCTTTAAATTTTTCAATAAAAATAAATTTTCTGCTTC